CACAGGCATTCTTATGGCTTTTCACTTGTAAAAATAGCATTGTGCCTCGTTAGCAGACACTATTATTTTTATGAAATTCATGACTTTACTTTGCTGTGACTGTCATCCGAATGATCTAGTTGGAGACAGGAAGGGTGTTGAGCAGCAAGTGGAAACACTAACACTGGAATTTGGTGACCTAACAGGATTTGCCTTTCCCAACTTAAATATTGATTACAGGTTATTTGATGCTCAGACAAAGTAAATGAGCACAAAACAAAAAGGGACATGCATATCACCTTGGAAAAAAAGTGAAAAGAGCGACATGATTTAGGTCCAAAATGCTTTGGTAATTGAAACTTCACAGGAAGGCATCAGTGTTTCAAAAAGCGTCCGTGCTGGGTTAAGATCTGAATAATACATGTGTTCTACTGAAGCTCTCTTAACTGTACATATAAGTCACAAGTACATTGAATAAAAGGCACAGCCACAGCACAGGGCTCACCTATCAATGAAACAGAATTACGTCAGTAATGAGTCCAAAGGCTTTATCAGTAACACCTTCACTGCCAAGAACAGCAACCTTTCCACAAAGTCATTGCACAGCTACAGAATTAATGTAGAATGTCACCACCACATACAGTATCTGATCCAATAGAGCTGATATCCAGGATGAGGGAGAGTAAAAAAAAAAAAAAATAACATCAGTGCATTATTATGCATTATTTCAGGTGTCTCCAAACTTGTTAGCACAAGGGTCACATTGTAGATGTTACAAATATTCACAGGCCAAGAAAATCAGTTTTATAAAAACTCAAAATCCCCATCAGAGCCCACCATTTACACCCCCATTAGAGTCCCCATTTACATCAGGAACCCTGTTAAGAGTCCCCATTTACATCAGGTCCTCATCAGAATCCTCCTTACCTCAGGGTCCCCAATAGAGCGCTCTCTTACATCAGGGTCCCCAACAGATTCCCTCCCCCTTCCTTACCACTGTTAGGCTTACAGCATCACTGTAGCAGTAGGGTGGGAATTGTGAGGTGGAGTAGGTCTGGACGGAGGACCTTCCTAGTAGTACCAGCAACCAATGATGGCGATGTACACCATACAGTACCATGTACAGCAAGAGAGAACCTGCGCTAGAGACTGGAGAGTAAGTGGCAGAAGCCATAGCCAACCTCTGCTGAACGGAATGCTCAATAAGCCATTGACCCTAGCTGCAGGCCAGATAAAATCTTGTAGAAGGCTGGATGTGGCCCTTGGACAGCAGTTTTGAGACTCCTGCATTACCTCTCGGGGGATCAGGAAGGAATTTTTTTCCCTGCAGGAGCAAATTGGATCATGCTCAGGGGCGGACTGACAACTCATGGGGCCCCCGGGCAATAGGGGATCATGGGGCCCCTGTGTCCTTGCCCAAACTCCAAAAAGCCTATGAAAAAGGTACCAGGGGCATCTCATGGGGCCCCCTACTGACCCCGAGCCCTCGGGCAGTGCCCGAGTTTCCAAATGGTCAGTCCGCCCCTGATCATGCTTTGCTGTTTTTTTTGCCTTCCTCTGGATCAACTGTGGGTATGGGATTATAACTTTTTTTTTCTTTAATGGTTGAACTGGATGGACTTTTGTCTTTTTTCAGCCAGACTACGTAACTATCTAAATAAATAAAAAAAATTTAAAAAGCCAGTTATCTCTGTCAATAACTCTTTTCCATTTCTATTGGGATTTTTCCTTTTGTACACTACTGGCATGTACTACACTCTCAACATCTGCAAGACGTCCAGAACAGGCGTTGGGATCATGCAGCTCCAGCTCGTACATACAGGAGTTCCATCATCAGCGGCCCCCCCCCCTTGGTCAAAGTCAGTGTCAGCGGTAAGGAAGAGTATGGAGCAATCAGAGCTGGAGGAGGGCAAACTAAGAGGTAGGTCTTCCATAATGGGCAGGTTTGCATACAAGAATAACACTATGTGGAATAATGCAGTATGTATGTAAAATTGTTTTACCTCTTCTGGCTCTGGAGACAGCTTAAGAAGTTCTTGTAGTGCCTCGCAGTCATATAAACCACACTGTCCTGTCCGAATATCATCAATGATATGTTTAGCAGACCTGTCAGCAGAAGCATTGAGAATACAATTCAGAAGAAAAAAAACATTTAAGTCAATTTAAAGCCTTTTTTAGTCTAGGATAGAGCGGTAAGAAAACCAAGAAGTTAGGTTGTTTTTGCAGACTGTGTCCTCGCTAATTAGATGCACTCTCTCTTAATTTGTTCTGGTGACCAATATCACTTGGAATGAAATTGAATGAAAATACATTTTGATGGGTAACCAAAACAGGAAATGAGGAGAAATCTTACAATGAAGATATTTGCTCTGGTGACAACTGCCACAGAAGTGATTTTTCTTACCCTAGGGTGATTTCCTCTCACTGTGTGTCTACAGGATAGGAAAAGAAGAGAAATCTCCTCAATGGGACAGATATGCAATTTAAAAAAAAAAAAAAAATGTAAGTGTGCATATCTCATGCTTGAGAGACCACTGTGGAAGGTGGCAACCACTGTCATAGTCGGTGCTACTACAGTGATATCCACAATCTTCTGAGCACTGTCCTTAGCATCTCTTCACCTCTACGCAGTGACCACAGGGGTCACTTGCCCTGCATTGCTACCAATAACAGAAAGCCTTGTATTTTTAAATAAATACAAAGCATCCTTTGACTGGATGAGGCAGAGAGGAGGGGCAGTGATACACCGATCTCCGTCTGATCCAATCAGAGAATGTGTTGTGTTAATTGAAAAAATGATCTGTCTGTGCCACTGGAGGGGATATTCATCCTATTTGTCCCTTTTACTGCTGTCACCAGATTGAAATAAAATCCCGGAAAAGAAATAGAGGAGAAACCTTTCAATGGGGACACTCTTTCTAGTGGCAACCAGGGATTCCCTTACTTTAGAGGGATTTTTTCTTACTTTCAGTTTTGGACAGGATGTGAAGGGAAATCTCCCCAATGGAACACACAAGGTATATAAAAAAAAAAAAAAAAAAAAAAAAAAAGACAGGAGTCATAACCGTCCTTTATGCTATCCAAAATGAAAAAAAAAAAATGTTTTGCCTATAGTTCTACTTCATAGTTGCATGACAAAATCTAAAAACATCTAGAGGCTTAAATACGCTTTACAGATGTATGTATGTATGTATGTATGTATGTATGTATTATATATATATACACACATACATACACACACATACATATACAGTGGGGATCGAAAGTTTGGGCACCCCAGCTAAAAATTTGTATTAATGTGCATAAAGAAGCCAAGGAAAGATGTAAAAATCTCCAAAAGGCATCAAATTACAGATTAGACATTCTTATAATATGTCAACAAAAGTTAGATTTTATTTCCATCATTTACACTTTCAAAATAACAGAAAACAAAAAAATGGCGTCTGCAAAAGTTTGGGCACCCTGCAGAGTTAATATCTTGTACTGCCCCCTTTGGCAAGTATCACAGCTTGTAAATGCTTTTTGTAGCCAGCCAAGAGTCTTTCAATTCTTGTTTGAGGTATCTTTGCCCATTCTTCCTTACAAAAGTCTTCCAGTTCTTTGAGATTTCTGGGCTGTCTGTCACGCACTGCTCTTTTAAGGTCTATCCATAGATTTTCAATTATGTTGAGGTCAGGAGATTGTGAAGGCCATGGCAAAACCTTCAGTTTACGCCTCTTGCTGTAATCCCCTGTGGATTTTGAGGTGTGTTTAGGATCATTATCCATTTGTAGAAGCCATCCTCTCTTTAACTTCAGCTTTTTCACAGATGGCATCAAGTTACCATCCAAAATTTGCTGAAATTTTATTGAATCCATTTTTCCTTCTACTCGTGAGATGTTCCCTGTGCCACTGGCTGCAACACAACCCCAAAGCATGATTGATCCAACCCCATGCCGAACAGTTGGACAGAGGTTCTTTTCATTAAATTCTGTGCCCCTTCTTCTCCAAACGTACCTTTGCTCATTCCGGCCAAAAAGTTCAATTTTAACCTCATCGGTCCACAGAACTTGTTTCCAAAATGCATCAGGCTTGTCTATATGTTCATTTGCAAAGTTCAAACGATGATTTTTGTGGTGAGGACGTAGAAGAGGATTTCTTCTGATGACTCTTCCATGAAGACCATATTTGTACAAGTATCTCTTTATAGTGGAATAGTGTACCACAACTCCAGTGTCTGCCAGATCTTTCTGGAGGGATCGTGCAGTCAAACATGGGTTTTGAATTGTTTTTCTCACAATCCTGCGAGCTGTTCTATCTGATATTTTTCTTGGTCTTCCAGATGTTGCTTTAACTTCCACTGTGCCTGATGACTGCCATTTCTTAATTACATTCCAAACAGAGGATATTGACATCTGAAAACGCTTTGCTATCTTCTTATAGCCTTCTCCAGCTTTGTGAGCGGCAACTATTTTCAGTTTCAGTTTTCTAGACAACTGCTTAGAAGAACCCATGGTGCTGATTGTTGGGGAAAGGTCAGATGAGTCTGGGCATTTAAAACCTTTGAGATTGACATAACCTGGTCTTCCCAGACGATGATTGAGAACAATCCATGACACTGGCAGGTCTCAGCTTGGCAAAGGGGGCAGTGCATGCTATAAATTCTACAGGGTGCCCAAACTTTTGCAGACACCATTTTTTTGTTTTCTGTTATTTTGAAAGTGTAAATAATGGAAATAAAATCTAACTTTTGTTGACATATTATAAGAATGTCTAATCTGTAATTTGATGCCTTTTGGAGATTTTTCCATCTTTCCTTGGCTTCTTTATGCACATTAATACAAATTTTTAGCTGGGGTGCCCAAACTTTCGATCCCCACTGTATATACATACATATATGTGTATATATATATATATATATATATATATATATATATATATATAAATAAATATACATACATGCACGCGCGTGTGTGCGTGTGTGTGTGTGTGTGTGTGTGTGTACAAGTCGTAACTCACTTTTTAAACTGCTTTAGATATATTCCAATATTCATGCTTCTTTTTGCATCCAGAAGAGAAACCTGTAAATGAAATAAAAGAACATTTAAAATGTTGAACAAGTGCAAACACACCCCATTCATAAGAGACAAAAAATCCATAGTATAACTAGGTCTGATCATTCAGACAGAAATCTGATATTATGAATGGGAAGAAGAATCTATGACAGGTACAATAATTACATTTGTCATCCTGTAAGTGGATACACGTACTAAACCAGAATTCTTCAGAAAGTGAACCATCACTACAAAGAGAAGTCTTAATGACAGGTCAGGTGCTTATCCAGGATAATAGAAGCAGAAAAGCCAAGTTTAAGTCTGTAGGTTGTGCCTACAGAGGATTCTATCTATATCCCCAATATGCCTACAGACACAGTAGTCACAGCAGGCAGAGCTATGAGAAAGCCATGATGAACATAATTAGAATGGTGTTTGTTTTCAAAGCGATCAAATCGCAGCACATCAAAAAAGCAGCTATCGGTCATTTCAGCCATCACGTCATGGCTGAAAGCTAGCGAGCATTGTACATTGCACCCCTCCCATATTATCTATTTCCTGCAGTGTCATCGCTTTCCAATGTGTAGACTAAGAAGAGCCCACTGAAAACATGACCTTATCTACTGCAGTGGACAGCAAGTCTCTAGTTGTAATATAGATCCGTAAAGTGCACGGGAAGCACACCAGTACCCATAATGAAGGCCATGGCTAGGAAGCAATCTTAAAAAAAAAAAAAAAAAGTGGCTTCAAAAATGATTTCAGTAGTAGTACAGCATTCATATTATGTGGAAAGGGGATGGTATCTGACCAAGAGATTTCACTTTTTTTTTAAATTTATCTATCTATCTATATATATATATATATATATATATATATATATATATATATATATATATATATATGTATCTGTATCTATCAGGGGCGGACTGACAACTCATGGGGCCCCTGGGCAATAGGGGATCATGGGGCCCCTGTGTCCTTGCCCAAACTTAAAAAAGCCTATGAAAAAGGTACCAGGGGCATCTCATGGGGCCCCCTACTGACCCCGGGCCCTCAGGCAGTGCCTGAGTTATCAAATGGTTAGTCCTCCCCTGATATAGATTATAGATATAGATTATATATATATAATCTATATCTATATATATATAAAAATAACTTTGTCCTATCATCCTTGGTGCCCTGTAACAGTAGCTGCAATGTTGTTGAAACAGAGCCCCCCCCCCTTTGGCACACAGCCACCCCACACCACAGCTAGCAAGAAGATGGCTGATTTGCTAGGGAGCACCTGTCTCTGGCTCCAAGCACAGGCAAGAGGAATGCAGAGGAAAGTGATGCGTGTCTGCCTCCCATCCCTCTGCATTCCTCTTGTGGATGCTCAAGCTAAGTGCTGGGAGCTGGAGACAGGTACTCGCTAGCACAGCAGCTGGATCCTTACTAGCTGCCATATTAGGTGGCTGTGCACCAAGGGGGGGGGGGGCACCCTGTCCAACATTGCAGCTAGTGTTACAGGACATCTAAGAGGAGGGGACAAAGTACTACACATGTGCTTTATACCACACACTGCACGGGTTAACTGCTTGTTTTTGTTCTAGGGGATTGGAAACAGGAGAGGTACTTATCTAATCCTCCGATTCTCCCAGCACAAGACTGGTCCAGCACCCTTACGCTTCAGCAGTCTTGAGTAGTGGACTGTTCCTGAGCATTTCATCATGCCCAAAGCACACTCCATAGACCAGAACAGTCCACCAATGGACCATGGGGGAGCACCATTTTCCAGAGGATCAAAATGATCAGGTGAATAAAAACTTTATCCTCACCCCTAGACTAAACCAACAGTTGACCATATAGTGCGACCACAACGTCACTGCATGAGAAGATTTTTTTGCCCAGAGTTGGGCTTTAAATTTATAGACCACTTGTTAAAAATGTGAAGTCCATGCTTGGCCATTAAAGGTGAAATTTAAAAACACAACAGCATTACCCGTTTTATCACCTTCTCTGAACTCCAGTAAAAAAATAGTTATTGTCATGTGCTGGGTCCAGGTCAGTGAAAAGAACAACAAAACATTTTCAGAATGGAGGAGCTGAGGAGCTGGCCCCTTATCACTGTCTGAACAGCAGAACTCACAGCAGCTGAGCCAGAGAATCAAAGCGGACACTGGTATGGAGGCCCTAAAGCATTCTGGTCTGGTCACAGTAACAATTCTATTAATGAAAAAAAAAATTATTGCAGAGCTATTTGTACAATTAAACTACACGTGCATTTATTCTCTGCAATGGAGGGGGGAGAGATTTATTAAAGATATTATTGCACTTAAAAAAGTGACACGAGATGGGAAAATCAACATAGGTCTGCATAGGACCAGGAATGGTATCCCCAGGTTTGGCCACCGGCAAGGTGATAGCAATGTGTTGTGTTTGGATAGAAGCTGTGGTTACAGGTCCGTGGAGAATGCTGGATCCAGTACTTGAACCCGGAAGTGAAGACACCTGACTAGGGGCGGACTGACAACTCATGGGGCCCCTGGGCAATAGGGGATCATGGGGCCCCTGTGTCCTTGCCCAAACTCAAAAAAGCCTATGAAAAAGGTGCCAAGGGCATCTCATGGGGCCCCCTACTGACCCCGGGCCCTCGGGCAGTGCCCGAGTTTCCAAATGGTCAGTCCGCCCCTGCACCTGACTTCACTGATTGACACACATGCAGGGTCATATTTACCACAAGGCACTTGCCTAGGGCGGTGTTTTTCAGGGGGGCAGCATCTCCCCCAGAAGAACGGATGAAAGAAGGGACACGCACGCCATGGGAATCACGTGGGATCAAAGAGAGACTGCGGGCTGATTGATGTGTATGTAGTGCCTGACTCTCGTTCCACGGGGATGTCCAAAGCTTTGAAGATGAGTGTCTCTCTCTCTCTATTGCTGTGGGGAGGGGGGTATGGAAGGCTCTCCTTGGTGGGGGGGTAGGGGTGTTTAGTCAATGTCAGGCTCTCTCTGCGGGAGGGGGAATGGGGGGGGGGGGGGTGATGGTTAGTGTCTGTGGGGCCAGACAATTTTTGTGTTGCCTAGGGCAGCACAAAACCTAAATACACTACTGCACACATGCACTACAGGGACACATTTTAAAGCTATCACACTTCATCAACCAGGTCAGATGTTTTTCATTCATACAGGATAGAGTAAATCAGGAAAATACAGCATTATGATCACTAGAAGGAAAAATCTGATATGTATTTTCTATGATTTTCAGCTCCATCTAGCGGCCACAATGCAGTATATTTATGATTCACTATTCTTTATGAATGAATAACATTCAACCTGGATAGAAAATAGCCTACTAACATTGGTTGTTGATCCCATTGGCACAGGGTGAATGCATATGCAGTTTTCCAGGATAAAAAGATATGTAAAACTTTACAGTAGACTAAAAATACACTCCTAGAAAGCACGTCTTCCAAGAAAGTCCACACTCCACAAAACAGAAGTAGCTAAGACTACAACCAGAGTCCTTTACTAGGTGCCACGCTGTCAGTGATACAAGGTTTTCTGAAACGCCATGCTCAAGATGTGCAATGTTACCTCAAGTCTATAGACTTTACGAAAATCAGTTCAAACAGCCGGATGTCAATGTACAGCTTAAGAATGTTAACATGATTTCTTATTGGCTGCTATGGGTCATTACTGAATGCCATGCATTGATCTTGGCACATTAAGCAAAACATCAAACAGAATGAAAACAACACTCCAAAGCCTATTGATCAATGAGTGCACTTTCCATTTTTAAATTATTACGTTCTAAAGCCAAAAACCTAAAAAAATAAAATAAAATAAACACTCACAAATGTATTCAAGTAAACAATAATTCTGAATAACTTTCGCTGATGTTTCAGAGATCGCTCTGGGCAAACCAGCACTTCATGATGAAGTCACATGGCATTGAGGGATGCCAATGAAAACACAACGAACAGTAACACACACACATAAGGAGAACAGCCATGTCTTGAAACCAGGTTCTAAAATACAAACTCCTACCTAGGGAGAGGTACAGCATGTACAGCTGTCTCCAGCCTACTGTATACACATGATTAAAAAGTGAACGTCATTGCCCAGAATCTTTGTTAGGCAATAAAAATCAGCTCTTAGCACAGCAATAGAAGGATAAGAAACACAAAGAAAGAATGACATTATGTATCAAACTTCATTTGTGTGTGGAGATAATCCAGTGAACACAGCGACTTTCCCAGAGACAGTACTCAATAAGCCTTTATGTAAGAGATGATCTGCGTAAAGATGGATTTTATTGTTCAATGCAAACAAACACATTGCTACAAGCGGCTCTCTAAAGTCACCTAAAATAGTTCTGTAAATATCTCCTACTATAAAACTCACTTGTGACTTTATAATGTACATTCTGTGTTTTCCTGGACTGTTCTAAAGAGTTAGAGCTGCTTAAAAGAAGAATTCTCACTAGCAATTTTAAAGTTGTGAGTTTTGGGAGTAACAGTTTTGACCCCTGACAATAGGGGCCGCCCTAGAGTCCAGCACTGCCATTCACAACAGATCACAGCGCCTGTTGGCTGCCTGGAAATATACAACCACAGAAAATAGATCACACAGTCCTGCAACACTAATAGATCCAATAGGTACAACTGAATGGGCAGCACTGTGGGGCTTAGTCATACAAGGTACTGCCCCAACCAGGGGCAGACTGACAACTCATGGTGCCCCCGGGCAATAGGTGATCATGGGACCCCTGTGTCCTTGCCCAAACTCAAAAAAGCCTATGAAAAAGGTACCAGGGGCATCTCATGGGGCCCCCTACTGACCCCGGGCCCTCAGGCAGTGCCCGAGTTTCCAAATGGTCAGTCTGCCCCTGGCCCCAACAGCACTGATTGTTCATTCATAATAGTAAGCAAAAACCCAGATCTATTACTATTATGAGAAAACAATTAGTGCTGTTGGGCCTGTGCAACAGATCTCCTGATGCTCCGTATCAGGTGTCTCCAAACTTTCTAAACAAATGGCCAATTTATTGCCTTTCAGACTTTAGGGGGGCCGGACTGGGGCGATTGGGAGTAGAAATTGTCCTGCGTCATTGGGAGTAAACAATGCATCTTTGGCATTAGGGGGAGGAAGAGTGCTCTATTCTTGGTGTAAGTTGGAGAAATAGTGCCCCATCGTTGGTGTCAGTGAGAGGAATAACTCCCTATTCATGGTGTAAGTTGGAGAAATAGTACCTCATCGTTGGTGTCAGTGGGAAGAATGGTGCCCCATGGTTTGTCTCAGTGAGAGGAATAGTGCCTGTTGTTGATGTCGGTAGCAGGAATTATGCCCCCTTGTTGGTGTCAGTGAGAGCAATAGTGTCTTGTATCAGTGGGAGAAAAAGTGCCCCAAGAGCCGGATAAGGGCAAGCAAAGGGCAGCATCCAGCCCCCGGGCCGCAGTTTGGAGACCATTGCTCTATATGTTTACTAACAGTCGACAGCTTTATCACACAGTCTCGCAGAGATAGTTGTTTAAAGTGTTACTAAACCCAGGACCCTGCATTCACTATATCCGGTCTCCCACAGTACACAGAACATGGAAGAGCAAATATTTTAATAAATATAAACTGCTAAATACCGTTTCTCAGCAGCAGTTAGTGCAGTCTTGTGACTTCTATCAGTGTCCAGTAGAGCACTGGTTAAAGCTTGTAAGTTTTCATTCTCCCCTGATGTCCTACGAGGCTGCAGAACCCCTGACCCTCTGGATAGTGCTGATTGGCCCTGTGCTGATCACATGCACCCCCCCAAGAAAAAAAAAAACCTCTTTACCAATACACACCAAACTGAGTATGTGCAGCTTTCCCCCAAGGCTCTGTTCTATCAGCAGATGGATTGGGGACAGTAGAAGAAGGGGAGGAAGAGAGAAGACAGGGTAAAACATCCTTTTTACACAATGCAGAGGATTAACCCCTTAGGTTCCACACCAAGTATAACAAGCATGCTTTACTGCATATACAGACTGTTTTTACTTTTGTGGGTTTAGTACAACTTTATTCATAATGGAAAAAGAACACAAAGGGGGCGGGGGATCAGTGTTGGCTGTACCTCCCTCACAGTAATGCCCATAAATTGGGCTTGAGAATAGCCTGCAGCTAAAGTCAGCAAAAAGGGTGCTTTTTATTTGTAACATGACCACGGATTAAGATGTTGTATGTACTTGGTTCCCTGAGGGATAATTTAAAGTTTAAAAATTTAAGTTAAAAATGTTTACTCAATTAAAAAGACACAGATGTGAAGAGGATTATGTTAATGCCTAAGTCCACATTTAATGGCTCTTTAAATCGTTTATTTAGGCCAAGGTGGCCCAAACTATTTACTGCACTAACAGGTGCGCTGTATGAACTGTGATGTACCCTCAACTATATACATAGAGTCAAGCTGAGCACTTCATATTCTATGAATGAATACAAAGCCCCCTCTGATTGTCTGATCATCACCAACCTGTCTCAGCCAATCAGAGGAGGCTTTGTACTCATTCATAGAATACAAAGCTTCGCTTGAATGACTGAGCGTCAACCTCATGAGTGGGATGGGAAGTTTTCATCCCACTGCCAGAAAACAGTGAGGTTAACTTGGCCCAAACAAAATATTCCAAGGGGCATGAAACATGGAGTTAGACTTTTTAACTCACAGTTAATCTGCTGTTAGATATTTAAGGTGCAACTCTGGAAAGACAAAAATCCTCCTTTGCATTGAAGCTACCCTGGTACTGCAATGGTTCCATGCTCATTTATGTCTGGGGTACCAGAAAAAAGCAAATTTTACTTAACCAATCTGATGTTCCGGTGGGCTTAGTGGAAGACCAGTACCCACAGCTTCTTCTCTATGCCCAGGTAATCTCAAAATCTCTGATGTCATCAAGAATATCGAGCTCTAAGCCCTACATTAGGCATGAGGATGTTTAAGGACAGTCTACAAGCCACAAGAAGAAAAGAAGAGCTTTGGCTGCTGGTGGAATAGGGGATTAGGACACTGAAACTGCATTTTCTGATCCCCTAAAGGGGACATAAAGAAGGGTTTAACCCTTACAGCACAGAGGCAGCCCCACTGCAAGGGAGGATTTTTTGTTTTCTCCAGGGATAGGCTTGACTTATAAACACATAGGCCTATAGACATAACCAAACTATAAAAAACCTTACCCACAAAGAGAACACAGTTTAAGTTGGAAAAGGGACAAAGCTACAGCTTTATTGCATTTCCAACAGAATAGACGCAAAGCCCTCTAGTGTATATAGTTTGTTTAGAGTAGTTAGAGGCCTGCTAGATGCCTGGGTTTAGACAGAGGGTTACTTCAGGGCAAGCTGGAGGTCTTTACAGGTCAGTCCTCTGGTACCTCCACCTGCTCTAGAAGCTTAAAGAAGGTTCTAGAAGTTAGTAGGCGGAGGTGAGGAGGGGCTGTTCTGCATATATATGGGAGTCTGACCAAACCGAGGCAGGAGGCCTGGCAGTGTGGCAGACTGGACCATAAATATTATTCCAAAAATGAGGGTCCTGTAAACAGAGCATGGGGCAGGTACCAGTTACAAAAAAGAATAGCTTAAAGAAAATGATGTGATTGTGTGAAGGCACTGTAAAATAGGGGACAGAAGAAAAAAATGTGTGCAGACGGCCTGGGAGTACTAGATAATTAATGTTTCTTATCTAAGGCCTTGGACACACAATGAGAAAATCGGGACAAATGATGATCCATTTTTTTTTTGCATGCTATTCCCATATCGAAAACAAATAGGCTACTAAAGTTAGGAATATTCTAGTTCGACAGAATACAACTTCAAAAGTGATGTAATGCATTGTATTGTATTGTTTTGTGCATGTCCCTTTGGACATTTTCGTACGAACTGTTGTGACCAGCTCCCGAAAGCTGTGTACTGACGAATAGATTATTGGACGATTACTCCAAAAATGTTTTTTTTTTTTCCATCTAATTTTCTCATTGTGTGTACTAGGCATAAGATTGGAAAGAGCGATCTTCCTACTTTAAGAAGGCCCTCTGTATGGCAAGTGTCTGAGGCTTGTGATAATATAAGAGCATATAGGCAGCAATAAGTGAAGCATGACACCAGAAAAACAGAATGTGGGAGAGTGATGCCGTGATTAGGCACTGTCACCTGATGAATCAAAGATGCACATCTGGAGACACCAGCAATGGTGCAAAATTCTGCTAAAGCCCAACACCAGGAAACCTAAAAACCCGCCCTTGCAGTGAGGTTTTGCCCGCATGTCAGGGGTTAAATACTTGTTTAAAGTGACACTAAAGCTTCCTTTTTTTGTTCTTTTAAATAACAAATGTGGCTTTGCACAGAGCAGCCCTGATCCTCTACTTGGGTCTCTGCTGGGGCTACTGGCTCCTTCCCCTCGAGCAGTAACCCCCAGGGAAACTGCTCGCCCTTGGGGCACCACTATGTACGCCTCCCCGAGCCGCTGCTCTATGCATCCATAACACACATACGGCTGCATGTCCCAGCCCCCACCCCCTTGAGCCTTTAGAACCACTTTAAAGCAGAGCTCCACCCAAAAGGGGAAGTTCCACTTTAAGGACTGCTCCCCATTAAGGATTGGCACGTTTGGGGGGCGTGGGGAGCGGGTACCTGAATTTGACAAGTACCCGCTCCCACTTCCGGTCCGATAGCCTAGGCTACTGGAAGCGGAAGGTGTCCTCCCTCCCTGTAGCATTTTGGGACACGTGGCAGGTCCCAGAAGACTACAGGACCATTCATGAAGTGCAGTGCTACTCGCGCATGCGCAGTGGGTACCCGGCTGTGAAGCCGCAAGCTGTCACAGCCGGGTGCCCACACTGAAGATGCCGGCCTCCTGGAATACGGGACAACCGTTGAAACGGGCTGCGGGGGACACACCACGGGACCAAGGGACAGGTAAGCGGCTGTTTTTTAAAAGTCAGCAGCTACAGTTTTTGCAGCTGCTGACTGTTATTTTTTTGTCAGGGTGAGCGAAACTCCGCTTTAAGTCTAAGTCCTCATGCACACTCGACATTTTTACAATTGCTGTTTTTGGCTTTTGGCGTTTTTTTCTACAGCCAGAAAACTCCTCAGCATATTATCCTATGTGTCCATGCACATATAGATTGTAATCAGCGTTTTTTGGCAGGGGTGTTTTTTGGCTGGGAAAAAAAAACCCCAGAACTAGAGGGTTTCTAGATGAGTTTTTGAGCTGTAAAAATTCTCAAACGCTGAAAAATGTGGCAAAACGCAGTAAGACACGGCAAACCGGTGTTTTGTGGACTTTTTTGAGCAAAAAAAAACAAAACAAACCTTTTTTGGGTAGCAAAAATGCTAAAAACCGCAAGCACGAAAAACAAAGAGGCAAAACGTTAACCCAAAAATTCTGAAAAACCTCAAGATTTTAATGTGACTTTACACAGCTAACGCTACCATCGCTATTAAAACGCCCTGTGTGCTTGGAGCCTAATGGATGGAAAAAAACAAAAAAACACCACACTTTTACTATCCTAATCCTTTGCTCCCCATTGCAGACAGAGCTCCCCCATGCACCGGCACTGGACTGTTCTTCGGCATCCTCACATTCAATACATCCTGCATCAGTCTTGATGACATCAGGGGACCTTAGACCACAGGAATACAGGGGAGAAGAGGCTATGAGGACCATTCTAGCAGTGCAGAGCACCCTGCAGAAGTAGATGTTTGGTAAGTAAACGGTGATTTACCAAGTCCACTTGACCCTAAACAAGTAGCTAACTCTAGCAGTGTGGAAGGGAGGATTATTAGGTTTCCTGGAGTTCAGCTTTGACTAGTGAATGTCCCATTCATAAAAAAGAGGAAGCATCAAGGCTAGGGAGCACTGGAGGAAGTGACCACAC